AACAAGTTCTCTCCCTCCTCCTTATGACACCCTTTTAGATACCTGAAAACTGCTATCATGTCCCCTCTCAGTCTTCTCTTTTCCAAACTAAACAAACCCAATTCTTTCAGCCTTCCTTCATAGGTCATGTTCTCAAGACCTTTAATCATTCTTGTTGCTCTTCTCTGGACCCTTTCCAATTTTAAATAATTTAAACATCCGACCACCTGAAGAAGAAGATTCAAGGTCTATGCAGTGCAGTTATTTTGCTGTTTCCCCAAGTAGTCTAAGGCTTATTTCAAATACAGATGAAGAACAAATATTTTCCTCCTGAATAATAAAGCTGAATTAAATATGAAAAAGACATAAATTGTACATTTTTTTCATTATAAATCTTTATCACACTGTGTAAAAAAGTCACAGCTTTAGATACCCTCTTGGCCAGCTCTTAGAGGCTATGCTCCATCCTCGTCATCCTTAACTTCTCAGTAGCTCCTCACACCATCAACCACTCCCTAAATTCTTGAAACCCTTTCCTCCATTAATTTATAAGGCTCCATCCTCTCATGGTTCTGCTCCTACCCCTTGATTGCTTCTTCAGAGTCTTGTTTGGTGGACCCTCCCCTTTCCCACCCCGTTTCAGAGGGTGCCCCTGAGGACTTATCCTTGGACTCCTGCTCTTGTGTGTCTGCATATTATCCCTAGGTCCTTTTTATCCAGGTGACTTCTAATGCCATCTTTAAGCTGTCAATTCAAAAATGTAGCCCTGCAGGGAAGACCCATGTCCCTCAATCCAGTCCTGCATCTTGGCCTTCCCCTTTCCCATATTTGTTTGCTCCCTTCTGTTTATTTAAGGCCTTTCAACATTTCCCCCTAATCTCCCAGATCATCAAGCCATCAACCCGTACTTTCACTCTGCCACTGATGACAGCTTTGATCACTTTACTGCTCACTTCTCCCCTCAAACACTTCTATGTTTTCTCCCATGATGCCCTCTATGCATGAACAAAGTCACCCCACCAAAATTTGTAAAGCCCTTAACTGTTATTTCTGCCACGGTGCTTACAAATCACTACTTTCTGGTACTGATTAGAGAATTGGAAAGCTATGTCTTCTGCTATTCTGCTCTACTCAGTTCACTTTGTTACCTCATCCTCTCACCAGCCCCACACCATTTCTCAGTCTATTTACCTGTTTATGTCCTGCTGCAGACTGTCAGCATTCTGGGGCATGGATTGTCTTTTTTGCTACTTGTCTGTACAGTGCTCAGCACAATGGCACTCAGAGCCTCAATCAGGGTTCCTAGGCACTGCCATAATACGAATAATAAACAACACTAAACACGTGGGGATTATTTTTCTATGCATAAAAGAAATTAGCTCCATTTTAAATAAGCTTCTAGACTGAAAAAAGGAAGTTTATTCACTTCATTGCAACTGGAGTTCTTCAAGATGTGTGGTCCCTATCTGTATTCCACTGTGGATATGTACATGCTCCATGCATCTAAGACTGAGAATTCTTGCAGGTATTGTCCATTGGTTTGCACCTGTGTCTCTGTCCTCCTCATCCTGTACACCAAGAATAAGAGGTGCGGCCAGGCAGACCAACCTCTCCAGTTCCTTCTCTACTGCAAATCCAGTCATGATCTGAGGCAGAGGGGAAGGAGGGTGGGTAGTGGAATATAGAGAGGAACCACACATCTCAAAGAACTCCAGTTACAGCAACAAGGTAAGTAACTTCTCTTTCTTCTTCGAGTGCTAGTTCCCAGGTGTATTCCACTGTGGGTGACTGACAAGCAGTACTCAGAGACATGGTCAGTGTGAGGATAAAGGTGATATAGCTTCTTGTAGAACCACTGTCCCAAAGGATGTATCAGCAGTGCACCCTGAACCAAGGCATAATGTCTCCTGAATAGGTCAATGGAGCTCCATGTAGCAAATATCAAGCAGGGGCATCTCTTGACGTGATGCTATTGAGGCTGCTTGTGCCCTTGTAGAGTGAGACCTTACTCCATGTGGGGGAAGAAGCTGTGCCAACTCACAGAGTAGGATACAGCCAGAGATCCACTTGGAGAATGTCAGCGAGAAAGCAGCTTGACCTTGGACTCGTTCTGCTATGGCAACAAATAGTCTAGGTGACTTCCTTATCTGTTTTGTTCTCTGCAGATGAAATGCCAATGCTCACTGCATGACGAGGGAATGAAGTCTTTGCTTTCACTAGAGGCAGGGGACTCTGAGAACAACATAGGTAAGTGAATTGACTGGCTTCTGTGAATTTCTGAAACTGTGCTGGGAACATAGATGTAATGAGACCTTATTGTTATGGAATATTGTGTACGGTGGATCAGCCATTAAGGCCTCAAGCTCACCTAGCCTTCTGGCTGAGGTGAGGGCAATGAGGAAGATGATCTTCATTGACAAGTGAAGCATGGAACACATAACTAATGAGTCAAAGGGTGGCTTAGTTAGCGCCAGAAATACTAAATTAAGATCGCAGTGAGAGGTTGGTTTCTTTACCAGCAGAAAGAGTCTGAGCATTCCTTTCAAGAACCTGACTGTTAATAGGTGGGTAAAAATTGAGGAACTGTCCATTGGCAGGTGACACATGTTAACTGCAGGCTGATAGATGCATTCACCAGGGCTTAGATTCAGCTGGAGCCATCTGGAGCAGAGCTCCGGTAAATATTTTCAAACCTGTGGGAGCCCCGGTGCCTCCCATGGGGCTGAAAGCCCAAGCCCCAGTGCACCCTGTGGTGCAGAAGCCCTGAGCCCCAGTGCCTCCCACAGGGCAGAAGCCCCAAGCCCTAGGGCATCCCATGGGGATGGAGCCTCGGCACCCCCACACCGCCATGAAGCCCCAAGACCTTCCACCCCACAGCTGAAGCCCGGAGCCTGAAATAGGGAGGACATGGGGTGGGGGGGTGCTTGGAAATAATCTCTGAGAATTTAAGCCCTGCATACACCTTTCCCTCTTCATAAGGTCAAGAAAGTTGGCCTCCTTATCTGTGGGGTTAGTGCTTGGGTGTTGTTGTCTGGAACTTTCCATGGCCACCTGGACTATCAAGGAGTTCAAGGCAGGATAAGTGAACAAAAAATCTGCTCCCTTAGCCAGGACAAAGTACTGCTTCTCTGCACTCTTGGGTTATAGACACAGGTAGCTGGCATGTGCCATACAGCCCTTGCCAGTTCTGATATGGCTTCATTTACTGGGACTGCAACCAGACCAGAGTCTGTAGGATATCCAGGAGCTTACATTGAGGGTCCTTGACCTCCTCTAAGGAGATCTGGAGCTATTCTGCCACTCTCAGTAACAGATCTTCAAATTTTCTATTATTGTCCAGGGGAGATGGAGAAGATGAAGCAATCGTCTCATTGGGTAACAGAGTCAATATCCGCATCAGGGCTCAAGGGGTTCACACTAGCCCCTTGGAGGAGAGAATTGGTAACAGTCCTTGTTGGAATAGACAGATTCCAGGTAATGTGCATAATGGTCCCAAATGCCCCAATAAGGTCAGTATGAGGGGTTGAAGGGGGTTAGGGTGATCCCCAAAGCACTAGGGCCCACCAGTCCCGAGGAGGAAGACCTTGTCTGTGTGGCTGAGGCTGGTTCCAGGAGATTCTTAATCCCCTGTCTGGGCTGAATTCCCTGGGTTGAGGGGGAGCTGGTTAAATCCAACTGTCCTGGAGATCAAAAGGTCAGATCCTGATCCTTTGGCAGTGCCTAGTGGATGGGATGAGGGTTAGACTTTTTCCAGAGTCCTGGATTCCTGCAGGCATTTGTATCTTCCTGGTGAGGGTCGATCCTGATAACAAGGGAAATAGTGGGACCAAGAGGACGGAGATATCATCTGGAGTGGTATAAGTCATCACCACCTTTGGAGGTTGCATCTTGTCACTCAGCACCACACCTGCCACATTCTTCTGGGAAAATAGCAGCAAATTCTGTACTTAGCAGAGATATGAGCTTCTCCGAGGCAATAGAGGCAGCACTGGGGTCATCACTGACGAAAAAAGGAGCAGAGCCACTGTAGGAGACACAGTTTTTGAAGCCTAGTATCCTGGACATACCTAAATACCATACTGAGAGACCCAGAGGGTTCTCCAGAGTGGAATTTGTAACATTATCTAACTGAGTAACTATTATAGACTAACGAACAATAATATAACTTGAATATTTACAGGGGAAGAGAAGGATCAGCTCTGGACACTGGAGGATTCTGACTCAGGCCATGCAGCAATAAGAAGGAACTGGAGAAGCAGTCAGTTCACCCTGCCACTTACACTGTCGGTGCAGCACAGGAGAGCAAGGGCACAGATGCAGACAAATGGATCCCACTTGCAAGAACTCTCCAGTCTCAGGTGCATGGAGCACATGGTTACCCACAGGGGAATACACACAGAGACCCGCACTCAAAGAAGAAACAAAACATTTCTATAGATCTGTACTGTGAAATGAAGCTCTCATTGTTATTGACATACAAGATTCTGAGGCACATCAGCAACAGGAAATAGAGCGTCTCTGTAATGCAGATCAGACACAGAAGGCAATTTTGAGAACCAGGAATGGGAGCAAAAGCTCAAATGAGTGCTCAGAAAATAAGGGGATGAAGAGGTTGGAGGTGGCTGTATTTCAGCTGCTATCATGGAACATAAACCTAGAAAGGTACTTTTTGGTTACTACATTTTCAACCCATCCTTGATTCACATGGATTTAGAAGTTCAGCAAAACAATTTCCCCCCATTTTGACATCTTAATTTAGATGCAGATAGATAAGACATAGAGATGCTGATAAGATCAAAAAGGGAAATCACTTGGCAATTGTTCCTGACATGAGCAGTCAAATCCATGTTTGTGGTACAGTTAGATATGAATTTTTTTTAAGCAAAGTGGGAAAGAGTTCATGGTCTGCTCTCATTTTATACTGGGGCTTTCAGCATGCCCATCTTTAGAGGTACCAGTATCTATTCTAACTATTGACAAAGAAACACCTACATACAACATAAAATGAACTAGATTTAAAAAATAGCTATTTTTACATTTTATATCAGATCTGGAACCAAAAACCATAAGAGCCAGTTTAGATCTGAGGATCTGAATCTAATGAACACACCAATCCTGAAACTGAGGAGGGAATCAAGCCCACTAGCTTGATTATCACTTCAAAAGTTTTTTTTCTCTTAATTAATTGGCCTCTCAGAGTTGGTAAGAC